TCCCTGCCTAAGTTCCCCTCTGATATTACTACTATATGAGAAACGCACCATCTTTCCTCCTACCCCCCCCCCACCCCTCCAACACCCGTCTTAATGATCAACCTCATCGCCGTCATAGGCAGCATCGTCATCATTGTACACTACACCGAGTTACTGGAGAACGTCATATTCCAAACATTCCACATGCCTCCCTACAGTCTCGCCGCTTTGCCGCATGCTAAAATACGAAACCACGACAGGTGCAGAACGACAGCCGACGGGTGTTGAAAGACTATTCACCCCAGCTCAGCTCCATGCATTGAAATACAACTTTCGCCACCAAGACGATCGGGAGGCCTTTCGCCATGAACCATGACAACGGCGTGGATAAACTCCATGAAGTGCGTGCAAATCCTGCAGGTTTTGACGGTTTCCCTCATTCTGCATTTCTGGCAAACTTTCTCGAACAATCTCCTGCTCATGTCCATGATGGGATGCAGGAGGCTGTAGTAATTAGAGGACCTGAACCACTCGTGAGACGTCTGACCTGCCAACGTGAGGTTGCTACCGCGTGGTGCCGGCGACGCTTGTCTCAAGTTAGGAAACAAGCACACGGCCAATCCACTGACAGGAAGCCCCGCCTTGGAACCCTTTGGCTACGAGGATGTCCTGCAACAGATTCAGTTAAAGGAATTGGAAAACCGACGTCTGGCTTGGCCTGGCCTTCCACAAATTGAAATTTTCTCTTGTGTGCGAGAAGGACTCATGCAGCTTTTGTGCAACCTGGACACGGGACAGCATGGGCAGCTTTGCGATAGCCTCACCGGAAACCAAATCGGATCACAGACCATAGGGCCCGATCCCAATCCAGCACAACCAGAACTTTCCTGGACATGGGGTCTTGACCCAAGGCAGCACATGCTAACTGCTAACAAGCACGGCTGGGAGTACAAGCACGGAAGTTGCTGATCTGCCAGCATCGCAAACGAGCCCGAAGACCTCGATTGACACGAAATCCGAAGACATCTCTCGGTCTCTTTTGCAGTAGCTTATTCAGGCAAAGCAATCGCGCACGAGACAAAGACCAACAGCACGGGGTCCGCTAGGCACAGTACCTGTATCCAAAGACTATTCGGCAAAACAGGTGCATGGAACCGAGGCACGCATGCCGTGGAGTAGCTCATTCGTTGCCTACTCCTCCGTTCCTTGGTCGCTTGCCTGCGAACAGTTTGCTGAGCGCACAACTCAGATCGACGCGGATCAGCCTATCTACTACTTACCATTAGTTTCTGCCGCTGGTATCACCGCCACTACCAGTACCACCACCTTGAACATGACGACGGCGACGACGACGACTACTACTCTGATCTGCTACTGCTACATACTGCTACTGCCTCTGCTGCTACTTCTGCTTCTACTGCTGCTACGGCTGCCACTACTGTTACTCCTACTACTGCCGCTGCTACTGCTGCTACTGCTACAGCTACAGCTGCAGCTGCTGCTGACAGTGCTAGTGCTGGTGCTACTGCTCCTGCTGGTCCGAGTCCAAATGCTTCGGCTACTACCACTGCTGTTGCTAGTTACTGCTGCCACTGCTGCTGCTACTGTACGCTGTTCACATGGCTTTGATAAAGATCTTGGGGCGCAGCAGCCAGTCTCCAACCAGTGGCGATGCAGCATTTCGGAAAACGTCCTAGTGGTCACGGTCTGCATGACAAAAATAGGACAGCAGGTCAGACCGCTGTCCTCCAGCTCAGCTGGCCGTCGGGTTCCCAAATCTCCAAGGCCAGAAGCCCACCCAACCACACACAGAGCTCCTAGCGCACAACACAGACGCACGCACGCACACACGTACTTGCTCACTTGTACATGCATCCGCAGCCGTCACAGTGACATCAGGATATCAAAAGATATCTGAGGATATCTGTATAGAGCCAAACTATGTGAGATCTCTATGTCCAAGATCACATGCGGCTCGATTCGGCTTGCCAGGTTGTGGCTTATCCTGATTGCCACAAGACTTATATATCTGTAGGCACACAGTAGTTAGTCCTTCACCGCAATGGCCCTCTTCGTTGGGCTGGCGACCACTGCACATTGACATGAATTAAAACCTCTGGTAACAAGGTGCGACACACACACACACACACCCGCGCGCACGCACACACACACACACACATATACACACACGCACACGCACACGCGGCACAGAAACGAGAAACGACAACATCCGCCCCTGCTGAAGCGAATGCATGCGCTCCTGCTAAACGGACATGGCCTGCCATGTCCAAGGCCCTTAGTGCAGGTCTGTCACGTCGTTATGCGACATCCCTTAAATCAAGGCAAAGAGATTGCATGCCGACGGGCCGGGAAGCCGCCGGGGGCGAACATACTGCAATCTCGCTGCAGTTGGCACTAGGCTATCATCGTTTCTTCTTGGCCTGTCGAAGTGGTTTGTAGCCTTGTGAAAGCAGAGCAAACCATATTTCACATGCTTGGGAGTTGTTACAATCTTTATATGTCTTTACTTTGCAACTACGACTTTTCGCAGCAAGCGGACCCCGTATACAGACCTGTCGCAGCAGTGATGCATTTATGTGGATTTAGTCTCTGCCTTCTTCTGAAATCCGAATGCTGCAGCGGCCGGTTGTTCTGCGAGCCACAGGTGTTGTGATGCCGAGGCCGGCGCCAAGCAGCAAATATCACGACAAGCAGAGCATTCACAGTGTGCACCTCGCTTTAAGTGGGTCTCGGCACAGAGCTAGCGGCCAAGTGTTCTCTGATGGAGCCTGGCCGGAGCGATTGCCAAGGACGTCTGTTGAGTCACCGCATCAGGTGGGCAATCCTTATGGAGCTGCTGAAGCTATTGAGCCGGCTTGCGGCATTGTCTCCAAACAATCTGGTTCTTCTTCGTCCGACATGTCAGACAAGCCAGCACAGTCGTAATCTGGCGGGGTAGAACCGCGCTTCTTGTGCTCCTCCTCTCTGCGAGCCATCTCAACCATGCGGCGGGTGTCCCGCCAGTCGTCAAAGTCGACACATAGCTTGACTTTGGGAAACAATCGCTGAAATTGGCAGAAACATGCCATGCAGGAGATGCAAGGTGTGTGCGATGCATACAATCGGACAGTGCCGGTGACTTCTGCACACTCCGCCTCAAACTCGGCATCAGTCTTTGCACCAGATGCCTCTTGCACACGGGCAATGACTTTGATTAGCGCTTGCCTCTCGGCATGGTTTGACCGATCATGCTGCGCGAAAACCGGGAGAACGTAGGAGCCAGGAGACCGCAGCTTCGGCCTTTTAGGATCCCTGCGCGGGGTCGGGCTTTCCCGCCGGTCACGCTCCTTCGGACGCCTCTCTTCTCGAGAAATTTCGGCCTCCTTGCCAGATTGGGCCTGGGCTTCTCCTCCGCCGGCTGTCTGAGGCCGAGGTGCTTTGGCATCTTTCTTAGGACTTGCCTCAGGCTCTGGCTTTCGCTGCGGGGCAGCCTGGGCTGGGCTCTCCTTTTCAACCGGCTCAGTTTTGTCTGGTAACTGAGCCTCTGCACTTGGTGTCGAATGTGCATCGCGCAATCGCTTCTGCCGCTCCTCTTCGAGACGGCGCTCCTCCTGCCTACGCTTGTCCTGCTCCCGCAGCTCGCGCAATTGCTGCTTCCGCTGCCAAACATTGTCAGGAGAGGGCATGGATCGGCTGCTTGGCTCCGGGGGTGGGGCCCGCTCCAATCCGCGCGACTGCGCCTCCAAATCCATCTTAAGGCGGAAGTCCGGCTCAAAGCTCCTTTGCTTCATCATGTCCATAATCTCAAGCCCATGTTTCCACTGTTTGCCTTGGCGGCATGCTGACAAAGCATAGTTGTGGCCAACAGAGCTGGGAAAAAGCCCCTGCTCACCGATCTCTATAAACAGAGACAGAGATCTCTGCCACTCGTGGGCTTCTTCACATGCAGCTGCCACATGCTCGAAACTTTGAGCATCAGCTCCAACGCCAGCTGCTGGCATGAGAGTCCGCAGGATGTGCAGCGACTCCTGCCATTCCTTCGGTTTGCATGCGCCTGATCAGGAACGCAGAAACATTCGGCCCTTGCACGCCGCTGGCAACTTTCCACTGTCAGGCCTGCGCAATGATTGTAGCCTCTGGGGCAACAACTCAAGTTCTGCAGCGTGAGGACGAAATACCGATATCGACATTGGTTTGCGCATATGCAACCAAGACAGTCATCAGCAAAAAAAACCCCAATCAATGCCAACATCTTGAATATCTTGAACTCTAAACTCAGCTCTAAATGCCGTGATCAACATCACCGCCATCACTACTATTCTGCTGACCCTTACCAGTACCACTGTGTCATCACCAACACTACTATTGGCAATAACTGGTACCTAGTAACTAGTTATTTGGTACTAGTACCACCAGCACCGGCATTCCCAGTATCGGCAGTGACGACCACAACAACCAGCCACTTCCACTGCAGTGGCAGCATCATGGCTGCTCTTGCTGTCATGCCCAACCCAATAGAAGCAGAAGCAGAAGCGCGCAGCAGGAGGGGCAGCAAGATGCAAAGGTCGGAAACAGCATGCAACAGCAAAAAAACCATAAAAAACACCGACGGAAACAGCTGCCGCAACGACACCGGCAACAACAAGACCAACAGCAGCAACAATAACAGGAACAGGAAGAGGAACCGCAAAAACAGCAGAAACAACGATACACAAAGCACGACAATGATGCACAAAAAACACCACCAACAACAAACAATAACCGCAGCAGCTACAACAACAACACCAAACAACGCCAACACCAATGCCGCCACGACCAGCACCAAAAACGACGACGACGACGGCGACGACCACCACCACCACCACCACAACAACAACAACAGCAACAGCAACAGCAACAACAACAACAACAGCAACAGCAACAGCAACAGCAACAGCAACAACAACAACAACAAAAGCAACAGCAACAGCAACAGCAGCAAGTTTCAATTGAATGCGCCGCGAGCATGCTCTGCGTGTGGCGGGCGCTGGACGTAGCAGACACTCGGTGAGACTGGAGGTACATGACCGAACTTGTTACCCACGACTAGAACGAAAAAAACACTGCCATTCGTTAGTTAGAGCCTGACTACTCACTGGTGAGAAGGACATGAATGACAATGACAGATGTACAGCCTTCGACACCCCAAGTGTGTACTGTCGCGTCCGACGCACATGGACCAACGTCTGTTGAGTCGTACCCTGACGAATCAAGGCCGGGTCTCAAAGTGCGGCGTCCCGCACTTAATCATTTGGTCACTAACAGACGAAGGCGATGGGCCGTAAGGACCTGACGTACCTGGGCAATGTGGAATATGGCTCTGCGAATGCTGGCATGCTGACTCATCCTGCGGCTGTGGCCGAACTTTTTGAGTGCACTCGCAGCTTGGCAGAGGTAGAGGCGTCCAAGGGCGGCAGCACTGGTCGAAAAGCACTAGCTGAGTGCCCACTTACAGTGCCGCAAAAAAGACGCGATTGTGGTGCTGATTGGTCAAGCACCTGGAAACGATGTTGAAGTGGCTGTTGGGCTGTGCCCTGTACGAGTCAGTTAGTTCCGTCCGGACCAGGACGGGCGTGGACGAGACCATGAGCTCGACGATCGTTGATGGGACCTGTCGTCACCACGGTCGTCCCAATCTCGCCAATTCCAAAAGTCCCAGTCATTCCCTGGCTGCCATGGTGACCAGGGCAACAGCAGCAACAACAACGAACTCACAACCAAAAGCCGAAAATCTACAACCTAATTACATTTTACAACCTACACGTAAAGGCTACCAAACCACACCAACACCAAGAAGCAAAACAAAAACACCAAAACCAACACCAACACCAACAACAGCAGCGGCAACAACTGCGACTACTACCACTACCACGACGACGAACGACGACGACGACGACGACCACGACTACTATTACAACTGTCGGAGTTACTACTAGCCACCCCCTACCAACCCTGGCACCTAAACCCATCATCATCATCATCATCATGATCGTTGGTGTTGGACTACGACATCACGAAAGTACTGTAAATACCGAGCGAGATGGATGTGCTCTTAAAAAGTACGTCNNCCGCAACCCATCATCATCATCATCATCATCGTTGGTACTGGACTACGACATCACCAAAAGATTCTAAATACAAGGAAGGCCGCGAACCGAACCGCAAACCGGAACCGAACCGCAAGGAACCGTTCACCCCGGTGAACCGCACAAAACCGCGAACCACTGAACCGACACAGGACATCGAACCGCACGAACCGAACCGCATTTCCACTCCATCCATCCCTCCATGCCTCCATCCAGCCCCTCCCCCTCCTCCAGGCAGCTCCCTCCATCCAAACCAACCTCCTCCTCCTTTCAGGCACCCTGCATCCAGCCCCGCCTCCGTCCTGCCGGTTTCCATGCAAGCAAACCCCCTCCATCCAACTCTGTCCCTCCATCCAAGCTCGAGCACGAAAAGTAAGACGAAAAGCCGCTGCGTCACTCAATCTGTGCCAGTGCTAAACCTTGCATCCAGGCTGCTTTGAAGATCTGGACTGATCGTCATCTCTCTCATCTCCTCCAACATCGCCAGGGCCCGCTCCACCTCTGACCGACAGATGTCGCAAAGTCTGAGTTGAACAGCCCTGGCCGCCCTGGCCGCTCTAGCCTGGCCTGTTTGTCTTTGGCCATGGCACTGAGGACCCAGTTGTACTTGACAATGTCTAACCTTGCCCAGTAACGATCATGCTGCGCATGCACTGCGTTGTGACACTCCGCTGAGGGCAAGACTCGAGGCCAAAATCTTTCATCTCCCTGCCGATTCAGTCTTCACGCAAGTCTGAACAAGTGCACACATCTGGCCTCATCAAGCGAAGTGCTCTCCGGAACTGGCCATCCAGCGCTAGCGCCTGTCTGCTCGTAGGAAGCTGCAAGGACAAGATACCGTCAACAATGTCAACTGTCGTCATTCAGAAGAAGTCGTCATGTTCCCCGAGTATTCAGGCAAAGTGTTGCCGAAGGGCAACAGCAAGGCAAAAGGCCTTGAGAATGACTAAGAACTCCTGCTCGCTCCTCGGATCTGGCTACTATGCACTTTGGGGTGGCAGTTAGCACACCTGTCTCACGGCTGACGGCAGCTTGGCGTCTGTAGATTCGGCACAGCTGTATCAACAATACGCAGCAGTTCTCGTCCACGGGTGTTCCGGAGGGTCTGAGAAAGCGAGGGGTAGTACCTGCGACCGAATCGACTGCTCTGTGTTGGGACTTGTTGTCACATCCTTTGGGGAGCGTGCCGGGGTCCGGTAACTTTGCCGTCCTCCCGAAGATCGGAAAGTCCTGCAGGCAGAGAGACTGAGAGGGGATCAAACTTCAAACCATACAGCTTTCAACACAGTCTGACACAACTCCACGCTGGCTGGCACTGCGAACCTGCTACAAGTAGCCTTCTAGCAAGCCCAGTATCTGTACGATAATGATACTTGGAAGCAGCAAGTGCTTCAAGTGCGAGCCGCGGTGCGAGCCACGTTTCAAGCAATGCTTCTAGGTGTCCCGCGAGAGGCGGGACATCTTCTGCCCTCGCCGCCCCCCAAAACAAGTCCATGGGTTCAGCATCCTGAGCCCATGCAGATTGCAGGCCCGCCGCGTGTGAATCGCGCTTAAATAAGCCAGCTTGTGCTGTCACAGGCGCTGCTCAAATTGAATTACCATCGGCTTTTATCCCAACCGCTCTCAACATGACTGGCCTACCATGCCACAAAACAATCATTCCACCGCATGTAGACGAATCTGGCATGTCAAAACCATGCCTTCTGTAAAATTACGGGCAAGCGCTTTTGGCACAAACTTCACGATGTCATGAACACCCCTAAAAATGCAAAATTCCCTGCGGTCAGTGAAAACGAGGGATACGAAACGATGAGTTTGACTGATGTCGCACGATCGACCGAAAGGGCATGTGTTCTCGGTGGAGATCTCAACAAACATATACCTAATCCAGCTCGCAAGGGGACCGCCTTCAGGAAACACCCTAGGCCCCCTACATACCAAGACAAATTGAAAAATCACGCCTATCCGATTACCGTGTGTTTAGGGCCTAGGACGCCAAGGAAACCTCGGCCGACGAAGCTGTACGAGTCACGGCACATGCACAAGATATTGCGAGCATGCGATCGGCCCTGCTTCACATGAGTAATCAAGGAGGCCGTCGAGATAATACGTGCGTTAGTAACTTGCAAACAGCGACTGCCTGCGCTGCCTTGGCAGAATTGTTTTGCTGACAGAAAGCCCCCATTGAAGCTGTGAGCTTGAACCAAATCCAGATGCAAAAATTCGAACATCACTAAAGCCTGGCCAAACCCTTGTGCACTTGTGCAAACGGTGTCTCCTCTACATTGCCGACTCCAGCGCCTCGGCAAAATGACTTTGCTGACCTCAAGTCCCTTTCTAGCTCTCCGCTTTAGATCGCATGGCATTCTGCCTGGTTTCCCGTGCTTCCGGGCTGCGATCGAATTGAACCCGACTGCCTGCACAAGGAAGGCGAAGAGGCTAAAGCCAGTCTCCTGCAGGAACCACGGGCACTTTTTCCGCCTGAGGCCTAAGAGCTCTTTAGAAGGGCCTAAGGTTGAAAACTGCTGCCTAATGCCGTGGGTCTTCGGATGTTTCGTTCTATATAGCCATCAAGCGTTCTGGGCAGTCTTGATGTGTCACATCTGCAACCCAACTGAACATTTCGATTCAAGGTTTGCTTTCTTGCGACCGAAAATGAACTTGAAAGCCTCCGCAGGGCGAGACGGCACTCCACATTGCATGCTGTCCCGGTGTCGTGCGCATTCTTACATAACATGCTGTGCACCGAGTAAGCCACTTAGCTCATAGCTCCCTCTCGCTCCTTCTCCCCTACTATCGGGTTTGCCCCTTATTGCGGAGTCGCCTGCTAAGCTGCTGCACACCAGCCATCGCAGTCATGGCTCTTTTCCCGAGCTCACATGCTGGAAGAATGACTGACTTACTGTAACTGAGTGCTCGATGACATGATTTCCTAGATGCTACTTTGAGGGACGACCACTGCCACTCAAATAACACTTTCTAAAACTGACGTTTGCTGACGGGAACTAGTTCATTCGATGTAGGCAATCCTACACATTTCATTTGTAAAATCATGGAGCCATGATTGAATGCTGGCGGCATCGCAAGGAGTGCTGGAGGTGATACAAAATGTCATACCTGGACCAACAGAGGCTTGACTGTTTCGAGATTTCCCAAAGCATTCGGTGTGAGCCGATCCAGGACTGGATTGCCGCTGGATTGGGTGCTTCAAAAGCCATCGAAAGTCTACCTGCAGCAGATCCAGAAACATTCAGGCTAATCCAGGCCATCAGGCCCGACTTCTCCGAAAAGCAAATGGCTTCGGTGGCTCAAGTCGAAGATGCTGTGTGCCCTGGTTGTCTGTCACAGGGCTTGGGCTGAAAGCGAATCTGTACTCATAGCCTGCACCATTAGCGCTCCCCATGCCCTTGGCAAAGCCTGGGCCCGCGCCACCTTCGCCTTCTGCATCGCCTGCGAAAATGTCGTTTTGGATATTGAACTAAGAGGCACTGAATACTTCCAACAAATACGAACATATATGGAACAAGGAAATTAATACGGGCTTCATCACAAACCAGACCCTCACAAATGTTAGAAGCTATCAAATCACACAGGCCGGGGCAGATCCATGCACAAATCTAGACCAAAGCATTGAAAATGGTCGCATTGAAGCACACCGACATGAATGAGCACAAACGCGCGCGCGCCACAGCACCTTTGTCACAGCTAGGGCTGAGACTTTAACGCCTTCATCATTGACATTCTCGACACGCTCGGAGCAAAGGCAGGATGGATTGCAGAATGTTATTGCGGCTTGGGCTGTGGCCTTTTGAAAGGGAAAGGAAGGACTCGCCTTGACTGACCGCAGGCAGGTGTGAGGGTGCAGAGGCCGAGGCAGCATGATCTGTGCAGCCAACCCCCATGGCCTGAAGTATTACACTGGAAAGCCAATGAACGGTACTTGAGGCCATGCTCGCTGTGGACGACAAGAGTGCCCAAGTGGGACAGTCCATCGCTCTCGGGAGCCCATGAGAATGACGAGCTGACACGACGTGCGTGAGCACAAGCTACGAAGAGGACGACTGTGTTCGGGTGTGGTAGCCCCGAGTCGTGGGTCAAATGTGACATGCTCAAGACTCAAGACAGAGGCGGACAGCGAGTGCACGCGAGTCTGGAAAGAAGAGCAAAAGAAAATCGACATAAAAGAGGCCGGAAGCCTCGTAGTCCGGCATTTGGCAAGCGTAGCCCCCTGTGGAGACACGGTATGGTCCAAAAGCGAGCCCGGCTCACGAACAGACTGCTGTCCGAGCTGAAAGGGGCGAAGGGGGTGGCGAGCTTAGCAATTTGCTTGGCACGGCAATGACAGGTGAGATGGCCTTCTTTCTGGATTCGAGGACTTTCCAGTTGCTCAGCAGGGAAAACTCATGCATCTCTGTGAAGATTGTGAAGTCCCGTTACGTTAAGACTGCATGGGCTCGGACCGCAGAGGCGCAGAGCTTTGATCAGCCGTCTTGCTATTGCGTATGTGCGCGATCAGCTCAGCAGCCACCACCGGAACTCCCCGACATACTCCCAAAGATGCTGAAGGCAGCATGCATCTGAAATAACCGACAGACCCAGACCTCCTGGAGGGGCGGGTCTCTCAACATCAAGTTGAACGTGTTGCAGCTTTCCGAGCTTCAACCGCTTCAGAGTCCTGTGAACGATTCTGGCCGAGCAACACGATGTTTTACGATCTGTCCAGGCGTGACAAGAAACTGAAACCCTCTGCCCAATGCTGTCTCAGTATTGGCCATTCAGAAAGAACCGGCCAACTGCGGTGGACTGCGTGCAGCTTTGGCGTGCCAGCTGAAGGGGTGATCCGGACTCGAGGCCCAGCCGCCGGAACACGTAAAGTCAGTTCTTGGGCAGGCTTTCGGCATGAGTGGGGCCCGGCTGGACCATGTAAAAGGCTGAAATGTGTGAGAAAACGCGAGTTCTTACAAGGAGGTGAGAAGATCTGTTGGAGTGAAGACCCCGTTTCTCATAGCATGGCCAGGCCTGAGCATAAGCTTATACTTTCACCGAACCCATGTCAACACCCTTAGAAACGTGCACCACGACCACATGCACAACTGCGAACAACACCATAGTTCTTGTTTGAACACGATTCGGTTTTCCGTCGGGTAGACAGAGGAGGGGTCGACATAAGCTTACCGTAGTGGATGGACTCACGGGGGTGTTGGAGTGAGGCAAGACTAGACTATACTAGACTTCAGCAACCAGCAAAACAACTCGAAAGGTCCCCTCTGCAGCCGAAGAGCTCTCTTCACTTGCACTACCTTGCGTGCTGTCTTCAGAGAACCACCAGGAGTCTGAGCACTCGGGATGAAGGCTCGCGTCTGCACAGGCATCGAACTGGTCGCCAACTTCTGAGTCTTTGCCATCAGCATACCACCAAGATGCTGATGGTGTGTGGCACCCACTTGCCGGGGAACTGATCTCGCATGCTTCACAGTCACTGCAAGAGCTTTGCGTGGGGCTGGAGTACAAGCGTCTGCGAACTCGAGCTCTGGGCGTCAGGCAATAATGCTCAGCTTCTTGCCATGCATCTTTCAATCCGTCAACAGCCTTGAGGACCGGAATACCGCGGGTAGTAGTCCCGGCATAGCCTTGCTGGCCTTGCATGCATGGGGCAGAGGTCTCTTTGTACAACTGAGCCTCAGCAGCCATCAGCTTGAATGAGAAGCGTTTACTTCGAGCACGCTCGGCTTGAAGATCCTTGCGCAAGGCTCTCACTGCACACTTCTCCTGCTGAAGTGCAGCTTTGGCTGCATGCAGGTTCGCCTGCAAAGTAATGCACAATTCTGCAAGCTCCTCGCGGTTAGCTGCAAAGTCCATTGCAAAGCCTCCGTCTATTGCATCCATTGGCGAGTCACACATCAAGGTATCGAGTCCTGGAGTTCCCTCGCTTCCTGTTTCAGGCTGTCTCCGCCAACGCACTAAGGTACGCTCCGCATCCTCCCAGTTTGCCTTGTCGTCACTACGACCTGTTTCCAACCACATATTGTGAGCGCGGCGCGTCAGTTCATCGTGGGCACGCTGCAGCACTCCAACTCCTGTGCCGCCACGCAAGAGCGCTGCCACAAACCTGGGGGAGAGCTCAAGCTCATCCTCCAAGTCCATTTCCTTTAGAAACGGAGATGGCGTTAATTAGCTGGTGAAACTTTCGTGGATCCAATTTGCCTACAGTACTACATCACTGCCGCTTGGTTTCGAGCACTTCAAGTTCAGGCACCGAAACTGCGCTCGAAAGTCTCTGTCTGCGCAAATCCCTCAAGGCACAGGGGCTGAAACGAAACCTTATGACGACTCGACAAACATGGGACCAAGCTAGCTCTGCTGGCTCTGCTGTCTTCAGGCATGTGGGACGATTCAAGTTCGTCGGTCGTACTTGCTCTACCGATCGATTGTGTTGAAATTTGGGGAACCCACCCAAGAGGAGCAACGAACAGATGTGGCAAGTCTCGCCAACTGCGACTTGCGAACACAACGACGCAGAAAAGCAATTGGAAACCAGCGGAAAGCCCAAAGTCTCGGAAAAGGATAAACCGTGAGCTCCTTGGCAGTGCGAGTGAGCGCGTGCACGCACATCTATGTGTTTCTACGAGCAGGATGAGGGCAGTGTGCGAGCAGGAAGAGCTGTTTGACTGGCGCCGCTCCGCATTATGTATCGACGAACAGACCCAGCTCTTTGTAGAGGTCCGTGAAAGCCTCCAGCTCGGGCCCGATCCCAAAGAGACGGCGTGGTACAAGCTAGCGCTGAGACGCAGGCTGCGACAAAGCGCTTCAACCAGTGATACACGACTTCAAGAGGCACCTAATATCAACACATGTGTTGAGCGGGTCTCGGAGAAAGGCAGGGAACGTCACCTCAAAGACTTCAGGATCTGGGTTCGTGGCCCATTCATCAAGATCCTTGCGAAGGACTGCAGAATAGAATTCACACTTCTGCATGACGTTGACGTGGCATGAAACCTTGAAATGATTGACGGCCTTGATCATGAGCGGCTGAAGGTTCATGCTCTCTCCAATCTGATGGAGCAAGTCAACAAAGTCTTGCCTCAGATTCGGGAGGCTAGCAACCTAGGGTCTAGGGTTGTTTGGAGAGCAGCAGATACTGCACACGGCGGCTTGCGCTATCTTGGGCTTTCTCTGTCCGGTCGAACGGTCGGGCATGCAGACATCTAACGGCTGAGCTCGGGCACATGTTTGTGTGGCTTGATATTTGGCAGGGCTTCAGCAGATTGTACAGGTTCATGACCTGGAAGGCAAATATCTCAAACTAGCTTGCACAAACTGTGCTTCGTTCTGTTGGCACGACCTGAGAAAGGCGCCACATCCATGTGGACGTAGAAGGTTGGCCTACCAGCGTCCTGGGCATCAACCTTAGCGCAGACTGCTTCGTGGCGCCTGCTGTGCGTGGATAATTGTCATGTGTCTCGCACTGGTATTCGCATCATGCGAAATGGCCGAGGGGACATGTCCTGCAACGGCACTGGCAACTCGCATCCCTTCTTGCACAAGCATCATCTTTCCGCCTTGACCAAAATCGTGTCTACGAAAATTGAAAAGGTTGAAGTTGTTTTGCGATGCCTCGGTCTTTTGTCACGCAGAGCCCTGCCCGAACATCCCCTTCGGTTTTGATGTTGGGGGCCTGCCATTGCAAGCGCCATTTGGGGTTCCAATGCACCGTCAACTTCACAGTGGTTGTGGGGCGCGACACTGGATCACGCATGCTACATCTTTCCTGGTTCAGGGCCCACCTTTTCGGATTACAAACCCAGGGTCCGGAACATCTCGTTACGATGACGGCGAGGACGCACTTTTGTGAGTTGCGAACCACGGACGAGCAAGTGACTACCAGCAGCTAATGACGCGAGACGTTAGAGCCAAAAACCGAGCAGAGCATTTATGCCCTTTGTGAGTGTCAGCGACCCCGAGCCTTATCCCTGCTTCGGGGTCATCAAGATCTCGCGAGACTGCAGCACAGTCCGGTTACGGCCTAAAGAGGTGGAAGTCGAAACGCCGCTGCCGACGCAAAAGAGGCAAACGGTAAGACCAGCAAGCCACCACGGCAGCGCATGATGAGCATCAGTCGTAGAGTATGATCGCAAGAAGGTCAACAACTTGGTCGTGTCGCTTGTCAACTCCGGACGGCCACCAGTTCTTGAGCATCACTGCGAGGCATCACAGCCAGAGGCCTGCCCGCACCCCGACAATCCCGGCGTGAGAGCGGTGTTCATCAGCTTCAAACGCTGGACTTGGCTAACAGATCACTGCAGGAGTTGCTGCAAGTGCAACAGTAGTAGATATAGTAGTCGTCGCAGTAGTAGTAAGAGCAGATTTTTTCAGCAGGAGAAGCAGCAGTAGTAGTAGTAGTAGTAGTAGTAGTAGTAGGAAGTAGTAGTAGTAGTAGTAGTAGTAGCAGGAGTAGTAGTAGTAGTAGTAGTAGTAGCAGTAGTAGTAGTGTAGTAGTAGTGTAGTAGTAGTAGTAGTAGTAGTAGTAGTAGTGTAGTAGTAGTAGTAGTAGTAGTAGTAGTACGAGTACTAGTACCAGTACCGGTACCAGTACAAGCACAAGTACTAGTACTAGACTGTTTTTATTATTGTTATATGTGT